AGTGATTTCCCGATTTTTTCAAAAATTTCGACCGTATCATTTTGTTTCGCATCCAGCTCGGAAATATTCTGCTTCGTAAAATACAGCGGTTGTCCGTCAATGCCTCTTGGCATTGTAGTCCAGGCAGCAGGCAGATCTGTTTCAGAAAGCTGCTTCTAAATACGAAAGCCCTTAAAGGCAAAAAATATCATAATTAAGGGCAGCACAATGGGTCTTAAGTGCAGCAGAGACGCCTGTAGAGCATGCAGATGCCTTTAAGTCACTTACTGCAGTATTTGTTTTTTTTTACTCTGAGAAGCAAGCAATTATATTTTTTCACTTTACAGAAATAAAAAAATTTCCTTTAAAGAAGCATTTACTTCCTGCCTTATAATTTTCTTAGCTAACCTGGAGTAACTCCCAGCTGGGCGTTTGCGAAGTGCTTTGTTTAGAGCTTCCGCTTTTGCTAGTGAGTTCGTAGGTGGAGTTTCATTTCCATTCTTATCTTACCCATTTTTTTTTTGTGACGTTGAAATTGAAGCCTAGCGCCCATTAAAGAAGACCAGATAGGAGTGTAACAACTCATGGGCATTTTAAAAATATAATGGCTATCTAGATATGAGTTATAATAAACTGGTCGCATGCACCAAAAGTTAGTGCACGTACTCTATGAGTAATGCTAGATACAGAATCTCGCAGAGAACATTTGCCTAAGCACATGATTCTGCGCAATGAGCTTATGGCTTAGAAGGTGGTATCCGCAAACAGTAAATGACTGTGTGCAAGCCCTGTCGAAGAAATGGTGCATATGAATGAAATAGTGGTTTTTATACGTTTGCGCTACAACAGGTGTACAAATGTACATTGTCTAGACCCGTGTGTCTGTTCCGAGTGCATTTTATCCCGAGGTTTCAACTCGAAAACCGGAGAAGCCAGGAAACTGAAATTTTAAGGAGGGACCCATATTACGTGTAATCTCGCGAACTCAAACTCGGCTTCCGCGTGCGCCTGGGTTTCATGCACGGTCACATGAAAGTTTTGGCGCCTAAATTAATAATTTGGGAAGCACAGAAGATAGAAAGCTGAAATTTTAGAAAAATATCCCTTGCCTACGTATGACCCCGTAAACTCAAATTCAGTCTCCTCCACCAAGCATGCCTAGATCTCAAGCTGAGACACGTGAAATTTCTGGCGCCAAAATTAATTCGGGAACCAGAAAAGCTAGAAGACTGAGAATTTAGGAGAATGTCCCTTGCCCGCGTACGACTCAGCAGATTCAAATTCAGGTTCATCGTATTCCTATATCTCACGTACGGACAAGTGGAATTTTGGAGCGCCAAAATTAATAACTCGGAGGCTGTAAAAGTTAGGAAGCTGGAATTTCAGAACAGTACTTCTGCCTAAACGTACGCCTAAGTCTTAGACAAAAACACTCGAAGGTTTTAACGCTGAAATTAATAACTCGAAGACCACAAAAGAAGAGACTGAAATTTTAGGATAATGCTCCTTGCCGGCGCAGAAATCCATTCCCGTGCAGGCGTAGGACTAAAGTACGGACAGGTGAGGGCTATGGCGACAAAATTAATAACACCGAAACCACAAACAGCAGAGTCTTGGTGCCAAAATTAACATGTAACATATCAAACAGTAATGCAGTGGACACTTTTAACAACAAGGTTCCTCTGAACAGAATCGTACAAGCATCAGCTGAACAGAGTTGCACGAGCGTCCGCCGGACAGAGTTGTACAAGCGTTCGCTGGGCAAGGTTGCTTCAAAACGCACGATTGCAACATCTACGTGGTGCGCATCCCTATGTTTAGTAGCTGGAGATATGCAGTTCAGGACGAAGAGTCTGGTACTGCTACGACAAATAAGTGGGTGCAACATAACTGCTTCACGCCAAATCCCGGACTGATTACGCAACCTTAGCACCCTTGATGAGCTTTTGCGACTCCAAATTTGAACCGCCTTCGCGGGCAAGCAAACAAACAGACATGGAAACGATGTTGTCAAGGGAGGTTTTTTTGCGTTTTTGCATTTTAAGCAAATGCAACCCAGGTAGCTCGAGGACTATGTCAGTTATATTTTATACATGTATATATCGCTACCACACGACTTGCTTTTGTTGCTGTCAATGAAAAAATATTTGTCAGGATTTCACCTCCACTCTTTGAATGCTATCGGCAGCGCCAGATGTCTCTGCTACAAAATTAAGCCAATCCGCGTACTCCTCTTCGCCGATCAACGTTTTGAGCAAACGTGGTACACTCGTTAGCTTTTCCTCATAATCGCCCTGATCATGCAGGCTGAGCAGTGAAGGTGACAGCATACTAACCTAAAAAGCATCTCTGAAATCAATGAGCGCTAGACATTTGCGGAACCAGGCTTATAACTTAACTGCACATGACGTCAAGCGAATATAATTATGCGTTTTTGCATCTATACAGTGCAAACACGCAAACTGTCGAGGGTTGTCTGCATTTCGTCTGTACCGATTTTTCATCTCAAGACCTACAAAGGGTACAGGGTTGAAACTTTGAGAATTTAATCCAGAATTTAATCTCCCGTACGGGCCCATGAAAGTTTTTTGTTGATAAGTTGCAAACTCGGGAATCTGAAAAGCCAGAAGACTGGAATTGTAAGGGGATGTTCTCGATCCACGTAGAACCTAGTAACTTCAAGCTCTGCTCCAGCTGCACGTGGTTCTGACGTACTGACCACTGAAATTTTTTTAGCGGTAATTTACTAACTCGGGAACCAGGGAAGCTAAAAAGCTAAATTTTAAGAGGATACTTTCTGACAGTCTTGGCGGCCATTCTCAGTTCTTTTTGTTAGAATCATCTTCCAAAAAAAAAAAAAAAAAAAAAAAAA